GGAGAAGCGGGGGATGGCTGGCTGGCCGGTCGCTCGGCTCGCCTTGCCATGCGTGCTGATGCCGGTACCGGGCCGCGGATGATTTTGTGATGCCGGTACGGGCCGCGGATGATTTTGTGATGCCGGTACCAGGCTGTGGCACAAAAAAGGTTGGGGGCCACTGCTCTAAGCCCCACTCCTTTAACCTCAAACTATCCACTATTGACCTCACCCCGTTCCTAAGAAGGGGCGTGCATAAGTACACCATCGTGCCTACTGTCCCTGTCCTATTGTCCCCATTTATTTGTACCTATTTCCTGTATTCTTACTCATATACCTATTATCTTGTAAGCGATTGACAAATCAAATAAATAAATCAAATAAATAAATCAAATCAAATATGATTAGAATATAATAGAGTAAAGGGAATACCATGTGGAATCTGATATGTATGTATGTATGTATATATGTTTACATATATATAGTAGTTAAGGGACTATTATGGTTATATTGTTATAAATTTTTATAATGGGTTAAAGGGAGTAAATGGGAAAATATATAAGTAAAGGGGTGGCAAGCTCGAATTGGTAATAAAAGGGGGAAAACCTTTGAATGGAATAATTGTACGTGGAAAAAATTACAAATGTGACAGATGTAATAATATGTGTATAATTATTATAGAAATTGAATAAGAATACAGATAATATTGTTTAGCATGACAGGAGAATATTTAAAGAAAAATGAAATAAGCTACAACATGAAATGAGATTGCATAAAATAAGAGCAATGAATATAGAAACTGAATAGGAATATGGAAAATATTGTTAAATAATGTATGAGATTATTTAAAGAAAAAGGTAACAAGTAATAATATGATTTTATTTTGGATATAAAAGTTGGTACATAATTATGGTCACGTTTGTATGGAAATGTAAAACCTGGAAACACATCGTTCACCTAATGAGATGTTTTATTAAAGATAAAAAATAAAAAAAATATTTTTAAAAAAGGAAATTTCTCCTTATATTTACCCAAAATATTGTGGTTCCAACTAAAACCCATTATTTCAATGGCAATCAAAATAATTCCTCACCATCTTTTCCATGTCACCCTTTGATGAAGAAGTATGCATTTCCAAAGAGACCCATTAAAACTTTGTACAGAACCTGCCCAAACAAGGGAGGATAAGCAACCGTTTTTTGAAAAAAGTAAGGTGAACAATACATAGCTTAGGAAGCCAAGCCTTCAATAGATGTATGCCAAGAAACAAACAAGTATTATGTCGAACAGAGAAGAAAGGGAGAGGGAAATACTGAGAGTGACTTTATTTTCAGAGCAGTAAAATGTGACAGATTGAAGCTGTGTTATGTGCTTTATAAACTTCTTTGCTGCAGATCTCTAATTTATCAAGAGGTAAGGACATCATAGGATCCAAAATTGTTGCTGCACTACCATGCATGCCACCCAAAAGCTCATGCTTTCTGCATGCCACCCAAATCATGATGTTACATGCCTCTTGTATCTAAGCCTCTGATTTAGACATGTTCAAGCCTGTGTGTGATATCAAGAAACATAATAGCCAATAACATTAAGACAACTGTAAGAGAGAGCTGCCAGCAATACAATAGCCTTTTATACAAAACAAAAAAGTCCCAGTCTGATGCCCACACTAAACCCTCTAGCATTACACCTCTCACATACACAGTGGAAGAGAAAGATCTGCATTCTCTGAATGTCACAGCAATGTTTAGTAAAGACCAGAGTTCAGACTGATTTCACAGGCAATTTTCACAGTCCTTTTTCCTGCGCTGTCTACCATCATAGCAACTAAATTGTCCCACATGATGCATGCATTTTGAGTTTCCAACATGCCTAGCAAAAGTCCCTTATCTCTTGAAAAATTCCATTCTCCACCTCTTAAATCTGTTGATGGTTTCCATATCAGAACATAATGAAAAGCTAACATGCTACAAATCAATGAGCTAGCTCAACTGTTTTTGTTATTTACTGCAGCCCTGTGCTTTGTTTGGAATTGTGTCAACCTGCCCAGGAAATGGATTATTAAAGCTGAGGCAATCAAGAGATTCTTGGGAGACAAGAGGGAATGACAGAGAGCAACATTTTGTGAAAACGTCCATCCTATCACATACTCTCGAAATTCCAGATGGTCTCAAGGATTCATACGGTCTGGAAATAACAGTGATTCCAATTCCATTAGCAGAAAATATATGTAGCTCAGGATAGAACAGTTGGATTCTTGATGTTTTTCAGCAGAGGTTTCATTATCAGGATAAGTAATGCAACTCCCCTCTCCCATGGACTGACATTGTTACCTAGCCTGGTAATGAAACTCAGCTGAATCCAAGCTCAGAGAACATCTAGAGTCCAAGAATTAGTGAGCATGATTCAAATGCCCATAAATGCATATATGATTTTGAGTATCTTCTGTTTGGTCTTGGAGCAAATGGTTTGACTAGACTAAAAGTATCTTTATCTTTAATGTCTTTTCTACAACATAAAAGAATGTCATATATAATATGTACCCATTTAACTTCTTTTCTTTTTAATTCCATGTTAGATGAAGACGATTTGGCAGATTGTTTCACAACGTGTAGCGATTCAGGACTGGGAGTCTCCAGCTTCATTCCATGTCCTTGGCCACTCAGCCGGATTTTTGTTTTTTCTTTGGGAGGACTATTGATAAGGGACACCTCCCTTGAAAACCTTTGTGTTGTAGTAAGTGGGACATGAAGCTGAGCTCACACCAATACCCACCTGTCTATATAAGCATCAATACCACAAATATTTTCCCTTTAAAAAAAAACATTCTATCTAAATACCCTGTTTCCAGAAATTACACACACTTCATTTTATTGAGTGCAAATTTCTAAAAAGCTGTCTTTCTGTACATGCTTCCTGGGAATTTGCCTCATCGTTAGTTATTAGCTTTGTGAAGAATTGCACATTTGTTTTGAATAAGAGATTACGTGAAAAAATATTCAGTAGAACAGCGTCCAGGTTGCAACACTAATCAGCTTAACCAGAACTCAGTGACAGTTCCCAGTAAACACGCAACTCTCTCTCAAAAGTGGGATCCAAGAAAAGAGATTGCATTTGTCTTTTACAACAAAAAGATTATTTAATCAGTTCCAAGAAAGAGCTTAGCTGGCACAGTTTTTCTTATTCATGTTCTATTTTCCTTCAATCAATTTTGACTGCATGAAAATGTGTAACTGGTTCTTCATTCTCCTTCATTATGATTTCTACATCAAAACCATGATTATTTATGTAAGCTGATAGTCCTCAACTTATGACAACTATTGAGCTCAACATTAATGAATGTCAAGGTCTATAATTACGTGAAGGAAGAATGCAAGAAAACTGAGCTGAAGGAATACACACTGTGTCAACTCATACTATGCAAACACAATTCAATCTGCACATTTGACTTATGGTTTTAGCTATAGCAATAGCACTTAGACTTATATATCGCTTCACGGTGTTTTACAGCCCTCTCTAAGCAGTTTACAGAGTTAGCATATTGCACCCAACAATCTAGGTCCTCGTTTTACCAACCTTGGAAGGATGGAACGCTTGAGCCAGTGAGATTCGAATTGCCAAACTGCTGGTAATTGGGAGTCGGCACAATTAGCCTGCAATACTGCATTCTAACCACCATGCTACCACGGCTCTTAGAACCATTTGATTGACAAAGTCCTTGAATAAATTAGATACTGAAATCGAAACCTGCTACATTTAGAGAGAACAACTTTCAATGAGCAGTTCTGCAACTTTAGGGCATACAATTGTTCAAAGGTTGTTTCCGTTATCCTGTGCGCTAATGCAATACACAATGAAAACAAAAATCATGTAAGGCTGCGTGTAAGCCAGTCTAAGAATCCAAAGAGGGGTTGCATAAGTTAATGCACAGGACAATCTGTTCCAGAAGTACTTTTTATTATGGACACGGATTAGAATTCAATGGAAATACTTTGCACAATTCTTCCACTCACGCATAATATTTTGCTTCCAAGTATGCAGCAAATGTTGTACCTCATGGTCACCATGTCCCCAGGCAAGGAAAAAAGATACTCTCAACTAATTCTGCGACTCTGTCTCATTTCCATTCTCACAGGCTGTACCATTTCCCCCAAAAAGCTAGATTTCAAATTGCTTACACAACAAGCATTTTTAAAACAACAATCACCAACATTTGATGATATTCAAGTGGACCTCCTGAATATCCTCCCAACTCAGGTCTGAATAACTAAAAAATATGGGATTTGATTGGGAACTGTTCATTAAAAAAGATGTTGAGACTCTAGAAAAAGTACAGAGAAGAGCAACCAGGATGATTAGGGGACTGGAGACTAAAACATACAATGAACGGTTGCAGGAACTGGGCTTGGCTAGTCTAGTGAAGAGAAGGACCAGGGGAGACATGATAGCGGTCTTCCAATATTTGAGGGGCTGCCACAGGGAGGAAGGGGTCAAGCTATTTTCTAAAGCACCTGTAGGCCAGACAAGGAATAATGGATGGAAACTGATCAAGGAGAGATTCAACCTAGAAATAAGGAGAAACTTTCTGACAGTGAGAACAATCAACCAATGGAACAGCTTGCCCTCGGAAGTTGTGGGAGCACCATCACTTGAGACTTTCAAGAAGAGATTGGTCTGCCATTTATCAGAAATGGTGTAGGGTCTCCCACTTGGGTGGGGGTTGGACTAGATGACCTACAATATCCCTTCCAACTCTGATTATCTGTTATCTGTTAAATGTAGCTGCCCATCTTTGAGCAGCTCCCAATCAAATCTCATCTTCCACAATAATGCTATGCCCCCAACTCAATTAGACCTGTCAATTTTTTCTTTCTTTCAATGCAACAATAAATACAAAGAAGCCATCCCATTTATGAACTCCAACAGGTATATTAATCACCATTACGAATCCTCTGCAACAAAAAGCAACACTTGATTGAACCAAACAACAAAACAACAAACCACAAATTCTTTTTGCTGACCTGTAAATGATGCCTCTCTCGTGAAGGAACATGAGAGCCGAAATGATTTCTGCAGCATAGAACCGGGCTCGGACTTCATCAAAGCGACGGGATTTCTGGATGTGGAACATAAGATCCCCTCCATTCACAAACTCCATGACAAAGAAGAGGCGATCCTGATCAAAGGCAATACCAGATACCATCATCAATAGAAAGATGTTAATTGTATTTCTTTTTTTCTCCCTGCATCTAATTTCTAAAAAAAAACACATTTGAACGGAAACAGTAGCAAAAAGAGCAAATTTTTTAGGCTTTTACTTCCATAGACCAAACTACACTGTATGTGATCAACCTAATTCAATCCTGGAATGACATTTTTCTTCTGGATTGGACATTGAAAATCTGGATTTGCACCCACTGCAACCCCAGTTCAGACTGCCTGCCATGCATTCAGAATTTATATTGACAAATAGAGGTCAAGTGTCCTGTTTTATTGAAAATAACTCTTCATTTGAAAGGCCATTGGAGGTCTGGCCTCTATTTGAAAGAGGGATTTATTTGAGCGGCTATCAAAGGCAAATCTGGCTTAAAAGAAAGTGGAACAAATGCGGGTTCTCAACCTGCTAATCAACTGGTAGCCTTTGGATAGAAGACTAAGCAAGCATACCAGTGGTAAGGTAGTGGTAGTCCCCTCTGTAAGGTGAATTGGTTTATATTTCTAACTTAATTATAACAACGGTGTCTACATAAAAAAATATGTGCACTTCCGCTTTTTGAAGATGGGTGAGTGGATAAATAATCATATTGGGTTTTTGGTAAATGCAAGAAGACAAGATCTCCTTTAACTGTTTCAGTTGAGAGTCAATGAGTTTGTCTGGCTATAAGAGTTCCGCAATCAATGTGTAGTTATGACTAAGTAGTGGCAAAGAAGCCAGGCAATTTGTTCTTCAGGAAGTTCTATCAGGGGAATGAAGTACGTATACTGAGATCAAGCACAGACTACATAGGTGGTAAAGGCCAGTCAGCCCTACAAAATGTCTTCTGAGCCTTTACTGCCTGGAACAGACCATGTGGCGTGATCTAACTATAAAAATAGTTGTCAGCTATGCCTGTTCTAGTGAGAAAATTTCTAATTCTTGTAGTGACTTGCTTTTTCCCAAAAATGAACCACTGTTAACTTAGCAGGATGCCAAATCCTTAATTATAGGAAGCAGACTGGATTATTTGTGATCACTGCAGCTCTGTCTGGTTATGTCTTGGATATAAATTAAAAGAGAAGGTGCATTTAGTTTAGACTAAACCTACTACTAGGTACGCAGAGATACATACATTTTGTCACAGCAACCACTTTGTCAGCGGGTAGAATCCATTGGTGAATGAAGCCAAAATACAAACTAATCTCATTTGGGTGGCAAGACTCAACTACCCATTTCTTCCCTTAAAATTTGCCCAAATTCATCTGTCTTATAAGGCCCTAAAGAGACAAACCTTGGTTGCCAATTGTTCTCCAGGCACAATTCAGTTTTTGATGTTAGTTTTCAATGCTTTAAATGGCTGAAGAGTTGATCATATGTATTTGGATACAAATATCCAAGGAAATCCAAGTAATTCTGCACTGACCTAGTGAGGCCCTCATCTATGTCCAGTTCTGGGAACCACAATTCAAATAGGACAATATCAAATTTGATTGGATTCAGAAGAGGACTAATAAGATGAGGAATCTGGAAACCAAGTTCTATGAGGATCTGATAAAGGATATGGGTATATTTAGGACATAGAAATGATCCTAAGGAGAAATAGTTTTAAATATCTGAAAATATGTCACACAGAAGACTTATTCTCTGTTATTCCACAGGGTAGGACAAGAAACAATGAGTTAAAACTATAAAGCCACTATGAGGAACTTCCTGTCAGAGTTATTAATCAGTGGAACAAGCTAGTACATGAAATGGTGACTTCTCCCTAAGTAGAGTTCTTCAAACAGAGTCTATGTAGTGATCTGTAAAAGAAGCTGTACAGGAAAGAAGGCTGGATGACCTCTAAGCTCCCTTCTAACTCTATGATTCTATGACGCTTTACAAAATTCTGTTAATGAGTTAAATTTATTTATCATTTGCTATTTGCATACCTATAGCTGTGGTGGCGCTGTGGTTAGAATGCAGTACTGCAGGCTACTTCTGACTGCTGATTGCCAGCAGTTTGGCAGTTCGATTCTCATCAGGCTCAAGGTTGACTCAGCCTTCCATCCCTTCCGAGGTGGATAAAACGAGGGCCCAAATTGTGGGGGGCCATAAGCTGACTCTGTAAACCACTTAGAGAGGGCCTATAAAGCACTGTGAAGTGGTATATAAGTCTAAGTGCTACTGCTATAGCTATATTATCTTTTTTTTTAAAAAATTACAGAATAACACAGTTGGAAGGGACCTTGGAGGTCTTCTAGTCCAACCCTCTGCTTAGGCAGGGAACCCTATACCATTTCAGACAAATGGTTGTCCATTTGTTTGTTCTTCTTAAAAACTTCCAGTGTTAGAGAATCCACAACGTCTACAGCAGGCCTGTCCAACTGGTAGTCTGCAGGCCAGATGCATCATGTAGGTCACACTCACCCCGCCTCTGCAAAGGCAGAAATATGTCATGATTTGTCATGATATGTTGCATGACGCGATTGAGTTTGACACCCGTGGTCTAGAGGCATATCATTCCACTGATTAATTGTTCTCACTGTCAGGAAATTTCTCCTTAGTTCTAGGTTGCTTCTCTCCTTGATTAGTTTCCATCCATTGCTTCTGGTCCATATTAATATAGATATCTAAATATTTATGGACTTGAGCATGATGATAGAATATAACACTGCAACAATGTTGAAACAGTTAAAATGGGTATCCTGGAATCCATTTTTTATCTGATAATTGGCCCAAAAGCAAGATTAGACGAACAGCTTAGGCTGCCAGTTTTCTAGAACTAATGATATCATGCAGCTTTAAATATATATGTACGACAAGGGCAGAGGAGATAAAAAAAAGTTTAGAGGAAGTATCATCATTAGAACACAGTGTGCCAATTTCCTAGGCTTGGGCGGTGGCAGGACACGGACATCATGGTGCTAGGAATAATATGTTATGATGGAAAACCAGGGCTCCAAAAGATTTCCTCCCTTTTCAGCAAGAAACTGAAAGCTTTGTGAAGTCAAATTAAGGCTCAGTCAGCATTCTCTCTCTTTGGCAGGAATATGAAAAGTAGTGAAACTAAATTCAAGAGCTACTACTGGCTCTTTGCAACTACTGTAATCTCTTCCTTAATTAAAAAAGGCCATGTGATGGCAAGCTGTGCTTTTTCGCTTGCAGTTTCTGCCACCTAGCGGTCACATTCACTTAAGCCACAAAGATTTGAGTGGCAATCGAAAGACAAACAAAGTTTACATTGCACATGTTTTGTGGATCAGATTCATTGAGTTTAATCTTGAGGCAGGAATATCCCATATCCATTGTTTTATGGGAAGAGCAAAGGAAAAGGAAAGAACAGTAAAAGATGAGGGGGCAGAAAAAAAAATTCTCCATAAAGTGGTAACCATTAACAAGGTAGCAGCTAGATGCAACACTGGCAAGCTTACATAAACAGGTTGATAACATGTGTGATGAGGCTTTGTTCTGTGCTTAATCCAGGAGATACAGATAATTCTCACTTGCGAATGGCAATTAGGTCTGGGAATACCATTGCTAAGTGACACAGTCATAAAGCAGGGCATCATGTGATTGCACTGACTTATGACGGCTGTTCTGGCAGTCCCAGTAATGCTGTCATTAAGCAAATCCTGCACGGTCAAAGTGTCATGCAGTCATGTGATCACCACTTGTGACCTTCTTTTCCCCTTGACTTTGCTTGCCAGAAGTCAGCAGTGAAGGTCGCAAGTAGTGACCGTGTGGGACACTGCAACTTCATAATTGCTACAATTGGGCAATTGTGGTTGCCAAGTGTCCAAATTGAGATCAGATTACCATGAGGACACTGAGCTGACTGCAACTATGAAGACCTGTTGTCAGCCTCCTGGTACAGCACTGTCATAACTTTGAATGGTCGCTGACCAAATACCCTTTAAGCAAGAATTACCTCTTGCAATTAAACCACCAAACAAATTCCAGATCAGTTGTTTCATTATGAAATTAGTCTTTGTAATTAGTCTTCGTTCAAAGAGAGCAATCTTGAGGGCATTGACCTTTGTATCTCAGGAAATTGAAATGATTCCCACTTGAATATTACCATTTCTGATGTCAGACACATGTCCAACTACTCTTTTGAGTTCTATAGAGAATGACAAAACCTAGCCAACATTAGCTGGCTGATATCAAAAAAGCTAAGCACGTTTAGACCTGGTTGGTGCTTGGATGGGAAACCATCAAAATATCCCAGACCTATAGACTAGACTGGAAGTCAAGAACCATCCTGTACACAATAGCCAGTTATTGTATTGTTTCTAAGAAAACACCATCGATATGCTGTCAAGAGGAGTTGAACTTGTCTCAACAGTGAAGATGACATTGTATGTTGCTAAGTAAGGACTGATCAGTTTGTTCAGTGTCTGCATATTCCTTATAGATGATGGCATGTACCACATTGGAGGATCAGTAGGTCCTCTGAAAGTATGAATAATTTTTTTTGTAATGATGATTTCAGAGTATATAGAGAGACATTAAACATTACAATCATCATCATCTATTTTCTATAACTCAAGATGACATATATAACGCTCCCGCTACATGAGCAGTGGAAGGAAATGCAAATATAAGCATAAAACACTGAACCTATTTGCCCTTCCACTAAAGTGAAGCAACCTCCGCTCAGGTGGGTTGGACTACTGGCACTAACAACATTTTGGTTTCAGGGAAGAAATCTTTATCAGAAAGGAAACCATTAAAGAAAAAAGTTAGAATAAAAGATTTTACTCAAAATCTGTGCACATCCGACAGTATATATTCCAGCTCAACATTTTTTTTTTTTGCATCAAATAAGAACTAGATAGTCTCTAGGACTCTTCATTTCTGTAATTCCATTTTGATTCTAGAAAACTGCAGGATTGTTGCTTACATAAACTCTTATGTACCCTATTTTTCAGAGTATAAGACACACTTTTTCCACCCCCCAAAAAGGGTGGAAATGCTGGTGTGTCTTATACAGTGAATGTTACCGAAGCCCCGCCCACCCGCCGGCCCCCACCTGCTAGCCTCTGCCTCCTTGCAGCAAGCAGCAAACAGCCTGTCTCAGTTTCAGCTTCAGCACAGCCTGATTAGCACAAACAGCTGATTGTCGGTTGGATCGGCCTCCCGATGATCAGCTGTTTCATGCTGGAGGGATTGCTATCGCCTATTGCCGCCTCCACGCGCCCTATTCTCAGCGTCCGCATCCCGTTTTTGGCCTCCATGCCCCCCATTTTCCACCCATTCCAGGCGGCGGGGATCAGAACGGATGGAAAATGAGACGTATGGGGGCCGAAAATGGGGTGCACAGAGGCCAAAAATGGGATGCGGAGGCCAAAAATGGGGCAGGCGAAGGAGGCAATAGCAATTTCTGCAACCTGAAACAGCAGAACGTCGGGAGGCCGATCCAACCGACAATCAGCTGCTTATGCTAATCAGGCTATGCTGAAACTGGAACAGGCTGTTTGCTGTATACTGGAAGGAGGCAAATTGTTGGGAGGCAGAGCCAGATTTTTTTCTTGTTTTCCTCCCCAAAAGCTAGGTGCGTCTTATACTTCAGTGTGTCTTATATGCCTAAAAATATGGTAAATCTTTTTCAAAAAAGGTATTTTTATTTTGTGATGCTGATGTTTTCAGTATGGAAAGGAGGGAGTGCAAGACTCTCTTTGCAACTGCTCTGCCTTATTCTCATCACTGAGAATTCATTGTCCTTCATTTGTGAGCTTCCTATTTTCTTCATTCTTTCTTTCTTTAACCTTCCACGAAGAAGGTTAAAAAAAAAGAATCACTGCAATGATTCATAATTGCTAACACCAGAAGCCTTTGCCCCTACCTGAAGTTGTAAGGAATACTTACAGCGGTCTGAAAGCAACAGAAAAGCTGGGTGAGGAAAGGATGGTTTCTTGCTAAAGTCAGGATCCGCTTCTCTGTTAGAGTGCATTCCACATCATCATCTTGAAGAATGACATCTTTCTTCAGCACTTTGATGGCATAAAGATATCCTGTCTCTTTTGTTTTAGCCAACATTACCTAAATTTGCCACAAAGCAGGATATTTAATTCAAAGCAAACAAAACCAAATAATTACGGAAATATCTCAGAAACAGCAAGACATGATCTTTCCGGCTGACAGGTCAAACCTAGGTATATTTGTTCAGAAATTAAGTAGTCCTTGACTTATGACTGATTGTTTAGCAACTGCTTGAAGTTGCAACAGTTCTAACAGATGGGGACTCCCACAGTAATGTGACTGCATTTCAGGCACTCAGGCACAATTATGGCTGCTTGCAAAGTCCCACAATCATATGGCCATGCTTTACAATGGTTTTACTGAAAACCAGCATTTAAACCATATCCATAGTTAACCATTGGTTCGTTTAATGGATGCAGTGATTCGCTTAACAACTGCGACAAAATGGTCATAAAATTAAGTCAGTCACATGGAGGACCCAATTTACAACTGTCATGAATTATGAGCAGGCTCCAATGCTATCGTAACTCAAGGACTATCTGTAAGTCACATGACTTTAGATGGGGGCTGTTAGGAATATAAGTCACCTAACAGGTATTTAGGTTGGACATTATATAAACCAGGATAGACATTTTAATACTGTCTCTTTAAGAGCATGCAATTGGGTGTGGTTTCTCAAATGGCCATAAGATGGAGCCAGAAACCTGGGTTGTTTTAGTCTGAGTCTCAGAAGAGAGTGTGAGTGTATCTCTGTTTACTTCTGTTGGAAAGTATTGCCATTTTTCCTAATTGACTGATATTTCTGGATTTAATGTAAGTCTGTTACTGAACTGTTTTTTGACACTGGACTTTGATATTTGGATTATCCCTGGATTGAAAAACTGACTGATCTTACCTGTGAATGACTTTGGATTGCTTGTTTGGACTTTGCTTAACGTTTCTGGAAGTAAAAACCTACATTTACTGTACAGTGTATCTGTGTACTGTGTGTGTATTATTCAAACACTACTCTCAAATACGTCTCCCTGTATGCGCTCATTCTCCTAATGGGGAATTACCTCAACAGGGGCTCTCTGATTAAAAAAGACACATTGGCTGAATTCACACAGAATGCTAAGCTAGATATCAGCTTTGGAAGCCATATTGAGATCAGATGCTCCCACACTACCACACTTGAGCCTGGGAAAGTGGGAGGGGGGAATTCAGGATAATGTCAGCATTCCAGCAACCCTCCATTCCACCCAATAACTCTGAGACAGGCATCTTCTCAAAGGTTCCTTTTTATTTGGATAGTAACTGGCACAACTGAGGAATCCCGAATCTGAAAGTTCCGGGCTTCCTTACAATAAGTAGAAACTACAAATCCATCCCCTGCATCCGTCACCACATCACATGGCCCAATCACCATCCGTCCCAAGTTAAGACTTCCTCTCACTTATGCGCAAAACAACCTGACCTTGAATTAGAAAAAGAATGTTATTATGCCTAACTAGATATATTCCAAGAAATTCCCCCCTCCCACTTTCCCAGGCTCAAATGTGGCAGCGTGGGAGTATCTGATCTCAATATGGCTTCCAGAGCTGACACTATACAACTTTATTTGGTTTGAGGGTCACAACAGCTCTTAAATAACACGTTAGAAGTTGCACATGAAGAGCAGTTGAGGCCTAAGACTTCACTGAGAATTTAGTGAAAACAATGTAAAACACAAGAAAAAAAGAAAAAAAAACCCTTCATTTTGATTTAAAGTTCACTGGAGTTTTAACATCATCTTCACAATTTAAAGGGATATGATGCTGTGTCTCTTAATGAATGTTATGTCTTTAATGTTATTTCTTATAAAGGTGGAGGAGCTGAGCAGGTGTCATGGTTCAAAACAAAAATCCTGCCAGGACTAAAATTCTGTACTCGTGTTATAAGTCATAATTTAGAAGCCACTACTTTTTAAGACGAAAATCAAATTACGGTTATAGATTAATGTATTATATGAGTGCAGCCTGATCCAACTAAACCTTAATGCAAATTCATTTGAAATAACCAAAAGTTACACCAGTATGGAAACTTCAAATCTCTACAGAAACACTTACCTTTCCAAAACTGCCCTTTCCGAGCACCCTGATAAATATTAGATCTTCAATTTTAAGCCTACTGGCTGAGACTTCCACCATCCCATTGCCATGCTTTGTGCTGTCTTTTTTCTGGCGTCTCAATGTTGATCTTGAGACTAACTTCTGTAAAAATTAAATAGTCATGAGTTGCTTTTTGCAAAAGCACCCCAAATTTTCTCAGCGCCTAGGCAGTTCAGAAACTCAATTATGGAAAGAAAACAATCAAGAGGTTTTTCAACATGGCATGAACAGGAGAAGGCAAGATGCACCTACCTAAAATTTTGGACATCAAACCTCATAAATAAATTAGCTTGTCCTAATGGGAATCATAGTCCAAAATATCTGAGTAGAATTATTATTATTATTATTATTTTGGAAGGGGGAGAACCAAATATGCATGGAAAATGTATGTTGGTTGATTAAAGCAAGTATGCAATAAACCAAACTGACTTGAATTACCAAATGAGAATTACTCCATACAAGTATAGAGTTGAATGTTGATTGCTGAATACAATAGGAATGGTATATGATGGGAATAAACCATGCATGAAAATTCATTGAAAGCTCAATGCTTAGCTCAACAATGAATAATGAATAAAGACAAGGGTGTCTGATATCCTCTTGATGGTGTAATGAATTTATGAATAAATGTAAAGGAATGTTTATGGTGACAAACTGCTTAGGAAGATAAACCTATGTGGAATTTTGTATGTAGATGATGAATTGTTCTTGGCTGAAAACCCGAATGGTTCCCAGAATTATGGAACAAATGTATCAAACTGAAAATTAAAGACTGAAAGACCAATAAGGTAATATTTGGCAGAAATCAATAATTGCAAATTATACCAACATATCAAAAAATAAGGCAAGGAGATGAATGTACCTTGATAGAATGTTTACTGAAGATGGGAAAAGGAGTAAGACATTTTAAGATGTGAAAATGCTGGTAGAAAAGTAGCAGGGTGATGTGCAGTCCTTTGCAAGGAATCAATGTTTGCTAAAAGAAGTGAAAATTGTTGGATAGAGAAGCACAGTTTTCCCTACTTTGTCACACAGAGGTGAGAATTAGGTATACCAAGAGAAACAGAAGTAAAGTTGAATGTGGTAAAAATGGTATACTTAATAAATGTGTGTAGTAAAACAGGGAGGGAGGGAGGGAGGGAGGGAGGGAAGGAAGGAAGGAAGGAAGGAAGGAAGGAAGGAAGGAAGGAAGGAAGGAAGGAAGGCCAAAATAATGTGGACTGAGCTCCAAAGTGAGTAACTAGTGTAAGACAAATAGACTTATGTGGTTTGGACATATAAAGAGATTGAATAAATATCAAATTACAAAACAAATACATGAAGGAAGAATGAATGGGTGGAGAAGAAAAGGAAGTTCAAGAAAGTAATGATTGAGAGGAGAAGTTTAAAGAACAACAGAGAAGGGAAGATGTAAGATTAGTTTCCAAGGATAGAAAGTCAAGGAGAGGGACAGAAAATAGTCTTGGTTTAAACTGTATTAGGTATGTTTCTTTTTCCTTTCCTTATTATTTTAATCTCTTTGGGCTACTATTTTGTATTCCTTTCTGTTGCTTACCCTGAAAGGGAATAACATGCTGTCACGGTTCTGATCTCATCCTGTAGTGTATATACTGTAAGCAACGGATGTACACAGGTTCTTTTTTTTAATCCAATTCACTGTGGAGAAGTAAAGGAGGGGGGAAAAAAGTTCTTACCCCATTTGGAGAGATATTTCCAGGTTGCAGTCCCATACATGCCAACGTCTTGGCTAGTTCTGCTGCATTCACCCCGCAGTTTGGAGCTACATTGGATTCACACCGAATATGTACATTTATTTTACACACTGAAAGTGAAAACAAAAGTAAACAAACATCATTTCTGCCAGGGACTGACATTGGAACAAGAACAAAACTATGTTTCTTTCCTAACAACAGCATGGGAAGGCATGACAGAAATCCAATCCTTATTCCCTCCATTTGAATCACAGATCAAGGTTTATGCAGTGTTCAATCATACCACATGAATCCAAGCAGTTGTGCTTTATTTAGCCATTGTTACCAGTGGTGGGATTCAAATATTTCTGCCAATGGTTCGGTGGGTGTGGCTTGGTGGGCGCGCTTTGCATGCATGCACATGTGCACCAAACATGCACTTTGCAGAGGCGTTTGCGCAGGTGCAGAGGCGTTCTAACTTGCCTCCTGCAAGCCTGCACTCTCCCACTCGCTTCAGCAGCTGCCGTGCGGCACTATTCTGTGCGGTGCAAAGCAGCTGCACTTCAAATTCAGCGGATAAAAGTGAGTATGGGAGCCCGTGGGTGCAGGTGGGCCCAACAGCAGAGCAGTGGAGAGAACCGGTTTGGTCTCTGCTGCTCATCGTTGCTACCGTCTCGCCAGAACTGGGCAGAACAAGTAGAATACCACCACTGATTGTTACACAAAACACAGGATATATGCTACACACTGGTTTGATGAAAACCATTTTAACTTAAGTATAATATCCCTTACAGATCATCACTCAGCTACTGTTCATCTAGTTCAGGGGTCTCCAAACATGGCAACTTTTAAGACTTGTGGACTTCAGCTCCCAAAATTCTTCAGCCAGCATGAGGAATTTGGGGGGCTGAAGTTGCCAAGTTTGGAAACTCTTGATCTAGCTCCATGAAAAGAGACCCCATCACTTCCCCTGGACTTGTTCCATATCTGGACAGTTCATACTTCATGTCTATAGAGATTCTCAGTCATCATACTTATTTACAATACTTATTTTGTACATACTTACAAACCCGCAGTTCAAACTGAACACGCAAATCAAGATGTGCCCTTGGGGTTGGCTTCAAAAATTTTTAGCAACGGGTTCTCTGCCTGGTTGCTAGGTGGCCATGACCATGGTAGGCATAGTCTAGTCCAGAGGTCTCCAAACCTGGCCCCTTTAAGACTTGTGGACTTCAACTCCCAGAATTTTCCAGCCAGCTTTGCTGGCTGGAGAATTCTGGGAGTTGAAGTCCACAAGTCTTAAAGGGGCCAGGTTTGAGGACCCCTGGTCTAGTCGGCCTCCTGCACCATGGTGGTGGGGCATGCATTTTCACCCTCCCCGGGCTCAGGAGGCTTTCCTTTAGCCTCTGGGAAGGTGGAAGCAGCCTCCCCGGGCTCTGGAGACTCTCTGGAAACCAGAAACTGACCCATTTCCGGCCTTCCCAAACTTCCAGGAGTCCCATTTTTCACCCTCCCTGAGCTTCTACGCATGCCCTACACTTACCTGCATCCAAAACAGAATGCGTGGGGACTCCTGGGAGGGGCAAGGCAGGGTGGGCAGGGCCAGCCAGGAGTGGGATTTGGGGGTTCTCCAAACTGCACAGAATCTTAGCTAGGGGCTCTCCAGAACCCTTGCGAACCCACAGCAGCCCACCCCTGGGATGTACCTTAATTGAACACAATATGATAATAAAGAAAATCGAAGTTCCTTTCCTTGCCGTTTCTATCCTTTATTTTTTATAGAACAGAGGTATTTCAGCAGTCCCTAGAGCCCCAGGAATTTAGAAGTGAAATTAGGCAGCACATTGATTGCTGAGAAAAGTCAGATGCAACTCCCTGTGCTGGGAGAGGGAATTAAAATAAAAGCCAAACAGCGTACAAGTTTTCATTTATACACCAGCGAGGGAAAACTTAGCTCTACCCAGATATCCCAGCACTCCCAACTTCAGAATAACAGGGTCGGAAGGGACCTTGGAGGTCCTCTAGTCCAACCCCCTGGGGTATATATCCTATACCATTTCAGAGAATGGATGTCCAAGCTCTTCTTAAAAATCTCCAATGTTGAAGCACCCACAACTTCTGGAGCAAGTTGTTCCATTGATTAATTGTTCTAACTGCAGAGAAATTCCTCCTTAGTTCTAGGTTGGTTCTCTCCTTGATTAGTTTCCACCCATTGCTTCTTGTCCTGCCTTCAGTATCGTCACTTTCTGACTACTCTGCCAAATAGTGCCCCTGGTCACCTCCACATTAAAAAAAAAAAAAAAAAAAGCTCTGTGGCCTAATCCTGCTCTAGAACATTAGCAGGCAGATATGATCTCTCTTAAGTGCAACATCTGATAATTCAGGCCTATTTTCATTCCTCTCCTTAATCTCCTCCTTATGAAATGTACTACATTTATAGCCAAATCTTGGGGATTCCTAACTAGGCAATATTGGTAAAAACTAGTACATACAAAAATTGTGCAAACGGAGGGGGTAGGGGAGTGCACCCTATTTTAGTGTTGCATCAAATATGCCCCCCCCAGGGGTGGGATTCTACCATTGTGCACCTATTCGCTAGAACCGGTTGTTAACATTCTAAGCAATTCAAAGAACTGGTTGTTAGAAGAAATTACTGGCCTAATCCTGTAAGGAAAGCAGGAAGGAAACATTCTGGTGTTGCTTACAGAAACTGCCTCTCCATTAACGCTTATTACATTCTTGGCAAGACTAGACTTCCTGTCTCAGGAACGACTCTGGAGTTTTTTTCCCCCTCCTTTGTTGGTACTTTGCTTGTGTGGAGTGACCATTCAAAGTTACAATGGCACTGAAAAGAGTGACTTATAACCATTTTTCACACTTACAACTCTTGCAGCATCCGCACAGTCATGAGAGGCCAGGCGAGGAGATATGTGCCTCAATGTGAGTGATATTGAGTTGGCCACGCCCAGCCAATAACATGACCACCAAGCCATGCCCACCAACTAAGCCACGCCCACAGAACCGGTTGTTAAAATTTTTGAATCCCACCCCTGCCCCGCCCCCCCCACGCAAAATTCAGGACAGGAAAACAAAACAAATTCCTCAGAGAAGGACTCTCGTCTTTGTGTAGAGTAGACTTTGTGTTAGCTTACTTTTACACTGAAGCCCTTGTCGCAAGATTCCCCAGAGGAGAGAGCCGCAGTGATCACAGAAGGTTGGCACTTTGTAATTGTGGATTCTGAACTTGTGTGGGATATTGATTCCAAATCTCTGCTCAGAAAACTGAGGAAGAAAAAGCAGCAAAAGAAGAAAAGTTGGCGATAATTGATAAAATAATAACAGTTGACCAAGCCTTATTTTTCAGTTTACAGTTCTTGAAGCAAAGCATACAGAGAATGTTACTCTACCCCATCTGATAGGTAGGAAAGAAAAGTGAGAGCCAGGGTTTTGGGCTTAAGAGTTTGATTTAATGTTTCTATAACGTAAAATTAATCTCATGAGTTTTCTTCTCACAGTAAATAATTTGGATAGAAGGAATGAATATCAGTTAAGAATACCAGTTAGGACAAGAAGTTAAAGTTCCAGGGTTGAACTGTGGGGTCTTTAGCGTTCTTGGAACTTGGTTGTTTTGTTGCATTACATTTATTGATGATGTTACCTATTTGGGAAATGAAATGTTTGCAAGAAAACAACCAAGCTCAGAGAGCACCAAGGATCTCAAAGTTAAAGTCCTTACCCTACCACCGCTCACAACTTGTGTTTTTGATTCAGCTGGTCCCAAACATGCCAGCCATGGCTACTTGTTCAAGAAGAAACCAGGGTCTACCATCTCTTCTCACAAAAGAAAGCAAATCAAATCGCCACTAGCTTGCTTTTGAGGCTGAAGAATGGCTTGCCCAAAACTGAATAAACCCAGATGCTCTCCCCATCCAGTTAAAATCACCATCAGATTAGCATTCAGACTTTTAATTGATGTCAGCACAAGTTTCAGATAACTTAACAGCTATTCCAAAATAAGGGCAATTTTATGCTGGGCTGTCAATCAGTTAAATTATTTCTATAACCAAACTCCCCACATTCAGAAAACCAATATTTCAGGGAATTCGGGGTAAGATTCTTCCTGATCTAGTTTCAACATGAGGGAATTCTTAACCTGAGAAACATTCAGACCTGTTCTTTCCCATCTGTCTTTTCAAGAAAACGGCTGTGTGTTTTTCTGAACATGATTCCTAAAGTCATCCAGATGGCAAAATAACAATTGTTTTGCAAATGCCATGACATAATTCCACAGCAGATATAATGCTTCAGCTGAACTTCTATATATTAAAGTAGCACAAAAGTTGTTACACGCTGTTAAAAGCCTGATATCTAACTAATCCATGAATCTTGAGAACATGATACAGAACTAAAGTCAAAGTGCATAACATAAGACATAGAGGTAATATAAGATTAAGAGATAAAATAAATAAAACAAAATAAAACAAAAAAGATAAATTGAGCATTTTGGCAGCATAGGTTATATTTTCTTCATTCAAACCTCTTTGAATGCTGAGGCTATCAGTATGTAGTACTAAAAGACCATAATAAATATAGGTAGAACAATCATTGTTATTAATGAATGTATTTTTATGTACAACTGAGAGCTTATGCACCGAAGACAAATTCCTTGTGTGTCCAATCACACTTGTCCAATGAAGAATTCTTATTTTTATAAAATCTAAAAACCAATCATGGTAAATATTTTCTTCTAACACGGAATTGAATTAACCAATTATGGTAGGGTCTTAAAGTTATAAATAAAATAGAATAGCAGAACATTCTCTTTCTCTGCACTAGGTTACCTTCTTTTAATTGTTACTGTTACTGTACACCCGCCCATCATATTATGTGCAATGAATGGCCATATAAATTGGTCAAATAAATAACTACATTTGATGTTATCTTTATTAGCATTGATTGGATGATACCTTTACTCTTTGCATTGCCACATCAATTTTTCACAAACCAACGGAGTTAAGTACCAGGTAAATAAAGGCACATAGCTATTTCAAAATGTATCAAATGAAGCCTATTATCTAAGGAATAATACATTATGTCATAACGCTGCAATTGACAATATATTTAATTAGTCAGATGTTACTGTGTTAGGTTTGACTCCTGTATATTTTATCCATCTTGATCTGTCTTTAACAATAGTAATTCATAGCTATTCCAAAACTATTCCCATAATCCCTTTGGTCCAGAATTAACAACACGCAGAACTCCAAATGTGTAGCTGTGACTTTACCTTCATATCTATGTTCTTTTTATTATTCTGGCATGTGCAAGCTGTAACTATGAGATGGTGACAACGCTTGTGCACAACACAGGTGCAAACTGGAAAAGAAGGCAGAAAAAGAAAACAATGAAAACTATCAGAAAATAATACAGAAAAGTAAGGTTGGCTCTGAGATGGACTAAAAATTTTACTGCCTCTGATCCAAACAATCTGGGGTATGTGCAAAGAAAGGACAATAAAATGATCAGGACTGGAAATTAACCCTTTAAGGACTAAAAGGCCAAGCAATGTTTAAAACATTTAGTGATCCACAAAAAATCCTAATCTCCCATTCACTGCAAGAAGATTGTGTAAAAAAGGGGAAAATGACAAATGTGTAGGGCACGATGTAACCCTAACAATAACTTACTGTACCTTGGCACTGGTATCCCTGCTTTCCAAATACTCCCCTGTTGAAGATAAAGCAGAGGCAACATATGACTCAGGATGAGATCAAACACTTAAAAAGTAGGTCAGGTAATCTGACACAAGAACAAAACAAAGGTTGAGAGGCAGCTGCAAAGTTCAAAGTGTATATCATACCAACAACGTGGGGAGAGGTAAACTCAACTTAAACTCTAAGGAGACCAAGTTATTATTCATCCAGAAACATTTAGGCATTCTGGAAACTTTAGTACTAGTGGTGGAATCATCCTCCCTTTAGCACAGCAAGACCTGTGTCACGGGCTTGCCCAGGATTCATCGTTAGTGATGGAATAGCAGGTGGAAGCTGTGACTCAGGGATACTTTGACCAGCTTTAACTGATATGCCAAGTAAGTCTCCACCTGGAGCTGCAAACCTTGGTGAGGATAATGCATGCCTTTACCACCCTATTTTGATTACGACAATGTACTAGGTGAGTCTCCCTTTGAAAATAACTCAGAAGCTGCAGCTCACACAGAATGCAGTAGCCAAGTTGTAGGTGGGTGGAAGCTGCTATTTCAGGATAGCACTTACTTTGCAATGCTGCACCCGGTTTAAAGTGTTGGGTATCACTTATGAAGTCCAATATGGCACAACACTGGGTTTCATCAAGAACCGCCTTGCCCAAAACAATTCTGCCCTCTTGTTTTGAATACGAGGGAGGATTGCTTCATTTTCAGAGTTGAAAGGAATATGAACTAGAAGGAATCTCAGCAAGGTAGAACATGCTGCTTCATTCTTGGCATTCCAAAAATCTCTAAAGGGCATTTGAACTGGTGGACACAACGCAACCATTTTCTTAGGTTAAGTAAGACCAATTAGAGGTGATGAGTTTTCATTTATTGGTTGCTTATTTTGCTTTCATTGTTAAATGACCAGAGTAAATTGATTAGGGTAGTATCAACATTTTGTGAATACATTTAAAAATACATAAAATCCAAGTGTAAATGATGAATCTTACTTCCAGTACTGATAAAATTCAGACTAAAATTTCTAATCAAAACTCTAAGAGATAAATTTAGACATAAATATAAAATTCAGTGCAATCTCTTAGTAGGAAGCATCATAAATCTCAGCGAGATTAATCCCAGAAACACATGCATCAATAATCAATCCCATCTTTTCCACAAGAAGTGAGATCGAAATCCTGTTAGGTTTGATGTAGCTTACATAGAAATAGATGCGCTTTGGCTTATAGCCACAGTGTTGTTTTATTTTAAGGATCAAACTCTATGAACACACTTATGTAAGTTGTAATAAATGTCCCTACATTGTACTGACTAACTAGCACCCAAAATGTTTCAGCCCACTCCAACAAACAGTTTTGAAATTCAAATTTCTTTTTTCAATTAATGAACAACAAGAAACATATTTATGAAAACATGTACTCATTGCTTTGTATTTAAAAAGTGAGACTATTTCACAAAACTGTTGAGTGGAACTATTTAGGACATTGCAAATATCATCCAATAAGCAGTCTGCATTATTAACATATGATGGAAATACCCATGCAATTGTGTTGGCATATATACTGGAGGCATCTTGGGAGTATAACATGGATGGTATGAGGGCTATAAAGTTTAACCTGCTCCTCTCCTCTTTTGCTAATCAGGCCTAGCCAACTGAACAGATAAAAGAGTTTCCATGAGATCCAATGGAAGCTTTTTCACCAATGCAAACAGAAAGGCGAGGGCTGAGATTGCCATGGGGGGGGGGAAGGGGGAGGAGTTAAAGCCCCAATATCTCCATGCCCAAGTCCTAATTCCATACAGTTATTATTTGTGAAATTAGTGGCTTGATTTGTTTGCTCCAACCAAAATTATTTTATACGTATTAGATAATATATAATTCATAATCAACAGTTGTAATAAAACAGGATGATGAGACTTTAGAAGAATAACAAAGTTGGAAGGGACCGTGGAGGTCTTTTAATCCATCCCCTGCTCAAGAAAGAGAATCTATACCATTTCAGACAAAATGGCTGCCCAGTCTCTTCTTAAAAGTCTCCAGTGATGGAGCACCCACAACTTCTGAAGGCAAGCTGTATCAACCATCTCAAGCATAGCAGTTTGCGCATTTTAAAACGAAAGCTACACCTTTCTGGTGCTGAACCCTAAACTTCAGATCACATTCTACAGTATCTACATTGATTCCACTTTCTCCACCAGTACCAGAAAGTACCTCCAACTCTTCCCCTGCTGATTTGATAGTTTGCATAGCTTTGATTAAAGCTGCTTTCAGGAAAAGTATCAGATCTTAAGTCAGTGATTGCTCCCGTTGTAACCTCTCTTTTTGATCCAAAGAATAAGTGTTTCGGGTAACCTGCTCTTGACTTGTTTAGGGATTAGTCTGCTGGTACTGAATTCAGCAGGTGGCAGCAGCTGGCTTTAAATATCTGGCTCAGGAATTAAGCAGGTCAAGGCCTGGCTAAGGCCTGGAGGGGAGAATTCCAGAGAATGCCAGGGCTGTAAAACAAAGCTGGGGTGTAAACACACATCCTGGAAAGTGGCAATTGTAAATCACTTTTGAACTATGGCCAGGAAACCACATGGGTGTATTTATGAAGTCACAAGGAGTTGAGCTCAACCCAAAGGGAACTTTATACTTAGCAAAAGGGGCGGAAATTATGGAAGCAACTTCCTAGGTGAAAGCTCCCATTCAAGCCTGTTTTCATTTCAAGCATACCAGATAAATTCCCGACAGTGTGAGCAGTACGTTGGTTGCCGCATATAAGTTGCCATAAACTTGTGTCCGTTGACTTGATGAATTCTCCTGCGCATGGCCCGTTGACGTTTCCGCGTGAAGTTTTTAAAGATCCTGTCCCTCTGGAGTGTTCCTGGGCACCCAAGAGAGCAATTAAACAAGTGAATAATTTGCTGCCTGTCATTCAAATGTCATGACTTTTCTATTGCTGTTTTCCTTTAATTTTCCACCCATGTTTACCCCAAAGCTTCCTCCATTACTTTGCAATATCCTGTTTCCTTTAGTTATCACTTCATTCTCCCCGTTAACCCTTTTAGTAAACCCTAAAGCAGGGCTCCTACTAGACTGCATGGCCAATCTTATTTTTAGTATCCTTCTCCTTTGGTTTCCATTCCATTTCCTGCTCTTTCATACGTCAAAATGCAGAGCTTGATTTAAGTGTAGGCACATGGCATTATGAACCAGTTTTACTCTTTTGGATGGTAAAATGCCTTAGAACACAATTGACAAAGTTGTATCCTTAAGCCTTATCAAGGTCTCCTTAATTCAGGAAGTAGCAATTCCAATCTTTATTCCATATGAAATATTCTGAATATTACAAAAAGTATGAAGTATTTTGAATATTCAAATATATCACAACAATGAAAAACATTTTACAGTACCTTATATTTATTAGCGGTTTCCTTGATTTTTTTTTAAACCTTGAATTTATGTTAATTTTGTTATTGATTAAGTAAACTCAACCGCAGTTCCTAGAATAACATGTTTTTAATAAAGTATTCCTGAAATGAATTATTCTTTTTTCCCTTTAAAAAAATCTTATCATTAATTTCTTCCAGTTCTTCAAACCAGCTATTTTAACATCCACATGGTTGCATATTTCCTACTTCCACATGTCACATGGTTTACATGCTGGATATGATTTCAAGGCCTTCTGTCCAGTGAATTCATTTATAATCCAGTTATCTTTAGAAGGGAAATGTTATCTCTCTCTCTCCAAATTACATACAACAACCCCACAAAGGAGACAACCCTAGGAACAGTGAGTTGGTGATGAACTTAAACTAGCATTGGGTGCCCCAGAACCTTTTCAAGACACGGAGAGGCTTGGGGGCATATTCACTTGAACCCTCACCACTGCCATCTAATTTGTCCTTGATTCATCTTGATATATTTTTCGCTCCATTGCCTTTGTCCATTGAAAATAACAGCCTAGTAAGGGTTAGCAAGATCAAATACTGAAACTATTTGCCACTATATTTTATCTAATTCATTTTGTTGCCTTGAATGAAATGTCTGGATTCATCTCACCATCCCAAATTCTGAACTATACCTTGTGAGACGTCCAGGGCCCACTGACCCCATTGAAAAAGACCCTGATAGGTCTCTATTATATGTTGTAAGATCAAGGCTGGGACTATATACATGTGTAATTTTCAGCAAGAGCAGAATCTAATTAATGCTGCAGACCATGCCTAGTGAAGGACATGAGGAGCAGCCACTGCTCTTATTGATAATAATGTTCTGTAAAGGAATTTGGAGTGGACCTTTGGGAGAGAACAATAAACCTGTTAGGGGAGGGAGAGGAAAGAGTGAACCATTATGAAGGGTTTGGAGAAGAAATTACACAGTTCAGGGGCAGAAGGATGTATGAAAGAGCAACTCAAACTAACCCCCCTTTCATTTTCTTTGGTATAAGATGGAAAAGTGAGAAATTTGGAACAGGCTTTCAAGATTCTGCTCATTTGATTCTGCTCATAATGAAGCAGCATTCTTGGAATCCCTGTAATATCTGCTTCTTGATCTGGCCTACCTGAAAGGGCTCACATGTCCCTCCTTTGGAGATTTGATATATGTTGGATGTGTTAGGGAACCCTGCAAGAACTTGCGCATCTCCATTCTGTATTCACAAGCAGCACCCCAAATTAGTCAGCAAGATCCATGTTCAGTTTTCCACACTGAAATGCTTGGTATGAATTTATTGTTTTATATGTGAATTTTAGAGCAAGCAGAAGGAAATAATTAAGCTACTGGTTAAAGCATGGTCACTTAGATTCAACTTGATTCTACAGTGGTTACCATCCTACTTTGTTAATTCTTTTATTTGAAAAGCTGATGGTACAAGGCTGGATTTTGGGATCACTCATCTACAAAAGAAAACTGGAGATGACAACCCTGGCTTGCAGTCTTTCCCCTACTAGGGCAAGATGCCTTTAATTCTGTTCCATAATAATGATTTGTCATTTGGCACCCATATACAAAAATTGTACAGGAAAATTTCGTGCAAACTATATTCCCCTTTTTCTTCTTTTCAGCAATGTGGAATGGGCGTTGGTAGAAGTTACCCTGAACGCCCTTTCTATCTATGCTGCGAGAGAGCCCAGGATGGGTTGACTCCTTCCTATGACGTCATTTAACTGAGTCTGTACTAAGATATAAAAGCCAGACCCCAGAAGAGACCCCAGCTTTGGCGAAGATACTTGACAAACTGAAAGGTGTCTCTGAAAGCACAAATGAATACAGAAATGACTTACCCTCTCCGGACGAATCAAGGGAGGGGCTGGGCTCTCTCGCAGCATAGATAGAAAGGGCATTCAGGGTAACTTCTATCAATGCCCATTCTCCTCCATGCTGCGTCGAGAGCCCAGGATGGGACATACCAAAGCCTGCATGTCCACGGGTGGGTCCTCGTCCGGCTCATCACACCGACTGTTGAACTACTTGTTGAAGCACCCGTCTGCTGAAGGCTGCAGTTGCCGAGGCAAAGACATCCAGACGGTAGTATCTGATGAAAGGAGATGGAGATGTCCATGTGGCCGCACGACAGATCTCCTCCAAGGGTGCTTGGGTCGCCCAGGCAGCCGAAGTGGCCGCGTTTCTGGTAGAGTGCGCCATCAGACCTCGAGGAACTGGAAGGGCCGCAGCTTTGTAGGCCTGCTCAATGAAAGATCTGACCCACCTGCTAATAGTAGTAGAAGAGGCCTTGTGCCCCAAGTGAGAAGGGAAAAGGAAACAAAATGGCTTCAGACTTCCTGAAGGAGGAAGTGCACTTAATGTATATTCTAAGAGCCCTACCTACGACTAGCGAGTGCCACTGCTGCTCTAAGTCATGGTGCAGGAGGAGGCAGAAGCCAGGCAACATAATGTCCTGGGACCTGTGAAACAGGTGTTAACCCTTGGAATAAATGAGGGATCCAGACTGAGGACAACCCTATCATTGTGAAAGGAACAAAGGTCCTGTCTGATGGAAAGAGCAGCGAGCTCGGATACCCGCCTGGCTGAAGTGATGGAAACGGGGAACACTACCTTCAGAGTCAGGAAACGGAGAGACAGTGTTCTAAGGGGTTCAAAAGGGGGCTTTGTAAGAGCATAAAGGACCACATGAAGATCCCAGGAAGGATACCTGTGAGCCACCGGAGATGCAGGTTGGAAGCCCCTTTCGAAAACCTCCTGACTGAAGGGTGATGGGATAAGGAAGGAAGCGAACCCCATGAAAGAACCAAGGAGAGGGCCTCAACCTGCCTGCGTAAGGTGTTGGGGGCCAAACCTTTCTCCAGATCATGCTGAAGGAATCTAAGAACCTCTGCCAACTGGGCTAAAGCGGGAGAGAGAGACCCTCACTAAGGCACCATCAGGAAGGGCCTTCCAGGTGGCATCATAGATGCGCCTTATGGGAAGTTTGCAAGTTGCCAGGATAGTGATGATGACCCTTTCAGGAAGATCAGCCACCTCTAGCCACTGCCGCTCAAGTGCCACATGGTCAGCTTGAGCCACTGGGGCTCCGGGTGGAGCAGAATCCCCTGATGAAGGGAGATTAGATGGGCTGGGATCCTCCAAGGAGAAGCCACCGACAGGTTGACCAGGTCTGCAAACCAGGGCATCCTTGGCCAATAGGGTGCCAGGAGGAGGAGCTCCGCTCATTCCTCCAACATCTTCTAAATTACTGCCGGAATGATGGGAGTGGGGGAAAGGCATAGAGGAGACTTTTGGGCCATCTGCACCGAAGGGCATTGGTCCCCTCCGCTCCCTGGCAAGGAAACCTGGTGAAGAATCTGGTGACCTGTGCAATTTGAGGAGTGGAGAAGATCCACCTCTGGCATTCCGAATCTGAGGGAAAGGTCCCTGAATAGAGAAGGAGGAATAGACCATTCTGCCTGGTCGACTAGGCTCCTGCTGAGCCAGTCGGCCTGGGAATTGTTGATCCCGGAGAAGTGGTCCGCCAAGATCGACAACAGGTGTTGCTCTGGCCATAACCCCAACCATAGAGCCTCTCCCATGAGGGCTCTGGACCTCATCCCCCCCCCCCCACCGGTTGACATGAGCCATGGCGGCCATGTTGTCCATAAGGACTAGAACATGAGAGCCAGTCACTGAGTGCCTGAAATGCTTGAGAGCTAGAAAAATGGCTCTGAGCTCTAGCCAATTTATGGGAAGGGCCTGCTCTGACCTGGACCAAGGTCCTGAGCTATCTGGCCCTGCATATGGGAACCTCAACCCAGGAGGCTGGCATTGGTGGTTATCACTAGCCTGTCTGGGACCCTGAAAAGGAGTCCCTTCCAGATTAATGGTTGGAACACCACCAACTGAGAGATCTCCGGATTTGTGGCGGGAGCGAGACCTTGATGGATGAGTGGCTGGTTCCTGCTCATTGGTAGGGAAGCAGGAACCATTAGAGTGGACAGGAGTGGAAAAATCCGTGGCTCTGGAGATATGACAGGGTAATTTGCAGATCCCGATGGGCTGCATGGATGAAGGAGGACAGAATCAAAATGTTGTCCAAGTAGCGTTGGATCCTCACTGGAACAGAAAGCAGAGATGCCATCAATGCTGCCAGAACCTTCGTGAAGACCCTTGAAGCCGATGAGAGGCCGAAGGGAAGTGCTCGATACTGGTAATGGGTATTCTGATAACAGAAACGGAAAAACTGGCGATGATGAGGCCAAATGGGGATGTGGAGGTAAGCCTCCATGAGATCAGTGGAAGAGAGATCACCCTCCCGAACGCTCTCTAAAATAGAATGCAGAGTCTGCATTTTAAATAGCCTGTATTTTACAAATTGGTTGAGAAATTTTAGATCCAGGATGGTTCGCTACCCTCCCTGAGGATTTGGGAACGATGAAAGGCGAGAATAAA